TTGCCGTGTGGCCAGTGGTGGCTCTGGAGCAGGTCCCAGCCAAACAGCAGCAGCCCGTGGTGAGCGGTGGCTGCCATCCCCTGGGAGAGCAAGACATGGCACTGAGATGTTCCTGCTCCCTTGGAGATGCCTGTTGCCCACAGGCCAGCAGCTCGTACCTGTGGCTGCCAGATGAGTGCCATCCCCTCCACCCCAGGGCTTCCACATGGGGAGAGGTGTGCGTGTGAAACTGCTCACTGGAGGGTTTGGCTCTACAAGAAAAAGGCCTAATTCTTCATTTTCTTGTTACTAGGTAAACGACCTCCACAGGAGTCATGGGTATGAACCTGGTCACAAAGAAGAAGAGGCAGCTTGGCGGTCCCTGAAGGTACAGGCTCATGTCCTGCAGAGGGTGGTTCCTCACTCGTTCTTCCTGCCCTGGCACGGGGAGGGTGGGCAGGAACCCTACAGACATCTCAGCCTGGGATGGATGGATGGATGGATGGGTGGGTGGATGGATGGATGTTTCAGAAGCAGGCGTCAGCTCTGCTCCTAGGAAAGTGTCCCATCACTTTCTGTGCATTTTAGAGGCTGTGTTTCCTAATGGGAATGGTTTAAAGCTTTCTGTGACTGCTCCACGTGGCTGAAGGGGGTGTTTGCACATGTGCTAATTAGTCTGAGGAGCTTGCTCCTGTGTGCAGAGATGTGTGTGTCTGCCCAGGACCTGGCAGCCTGGGCGATGCACCAGCCATGGCACAGCTCTGGGAATGGCACCATCCCCTGGGAAAAAACACTTTGTGGATTTGGGGAAGCTGTAGCATCTTGATTTCTTTCAAATGAATTCTTTTCTGGGCCTGCTGGGCTGCAGTAATGTAGGAAGCGTTCACGAGAGCACAGGAAATGTGTAGGTAGTTCATAAAACACAAAGGTGGAGAAAGTAGCAAAAAAAAACCAAAACAATTTCTCGTCAATAGGCTGTGGCGTTGTTATGCTGCAGAGGCAGGGTCCCTTCCTCTTTTGTTAAGTGTTTGATTGCCTCTTAATTATTTGGTATCAGTTTAATTGCACTCTGTTGTTGCCTAGGCGTCGTGGGCTGCAGCAGCCTGGCTGGCAGGACACCAGCTTATGGACCTGCCTTCCAGTTTGGGGACTGGCCTTTCCTTGGGGACTGAGAGCCAAGGGGCTGAATTTTAAGGTTCTGTCAGTTTAATATCAAAGAATTACTTTAGATACTGCTGTCCTTAATACCAGTGTGAGAATAGGATCTGGCATGTGAGTAAATGTAAAGGAAATGGAGAGAAGCCGGGATTTTTCACTGCAGTATCTTTATAAAATGTTTTTTTGGTTGGGTTTGTTTTTTTTTTTATTTTATTTTGGTGTCTCAGTACCAGCAAAACTACAGGAAAGTGTAATAGGAAATTGATGCTCAGGTGAATTTTCCTTGTGTGGGGGCAAATGTAAGGCTAAAGTCTACTTTCTGTTAAACCTGGAGAGAGTGTTGTGATGAACAACTAAGATGAACACAGATGGGGATTATCTTTCCCTGAGGCAGAAGCACAAACGGGATGCAACAGCGCAGGGGTTACTGCAGGTTTCTGAGGGTCCTCTGTTGTGACTAAGCAGGTATTTGTGTGTGTGTACGTGTGGCTGAGAGCCCTTTGCCTGCTCCCACAGGGGACACAGCTGCCTGTAAGTGTTCATACAGTTACACATGTTTAGCTGTGTTCTGCAGACACATGCACATCTCCATACTGCATTGATAAAACGGAGGGGTTGTTTGGATTATTTTTCCCCCCCCCCTCCAACATTTATTTTCCTTAAATCTGCCACCGAGTCCTCGGTATGTATGTGTTTAAAAACAAACTGTGCAGATATTGGTGTATTTAGAGCTTAGAGACATGGCTTAGTGATGGTTTTTATTGGAGTTAGGTTGATGGTTGGACTAGATGATCTTAAAGGTCCCTTCCAACCCAGACAATTCTATGATTCTATGATTTGTGGATTGCTGCTCAGGTTTGATTCATTGTGAAACACCTTTCTGATTCACTGGAAAGTTAAATGAAAGGTGCTGGAAATTCACTGGCTGTAAGAGAGTCACCAAGATTATTGCTCAGGGTCGTTATCTTACACTTCTGCAAGGGATTATTGAAAATCTCATATAAAATCACAGGAACTAATGTTATGTAGAAGTTAGGAATCTAAGCTTTCACGACAATTCCACCCCTCAGCAAGAGGCTTGTTGTTCAAGACCTCTTCAAAATCAGCCCTAGGCTTGATATCTTGGTATTCTTGAAAAATTTGTGTTTTGATTAGGAAAGCAGAGAAGAAAGAGCCCAGGGGACAGAGAGATCAGCAGCTCTGCTGAGCCATCAGCGGGGCGATGCTCATTCGGGTCCTCAGACCGTTGCTCTGAGTCATCGCAGGGCTCACCAGCTACTTGTCAGGTGGAAACGTTGGTAGCACAGAGAGATGGCTCCTTAAAATAGCTCATGTGGTTTGTCTACATGGTGAAGTGTGACAATACAAAACCTTATTCAAAAAATATGGAGAGAGATTGGTTTTTTGAAATCACGGAGCAGATTTCATCACACCCTCCAGGAGGGTTTGAGCACTCTCATAAAATGAGTCTGTATGAAGTTATTCAGATTAGTCCAGCTCACGGGAACGTCCTCATGTTGCCTTTCCAGCAACATCGTGTTAAGAACCCTGCTCTCTTCTCATTAAATGCAAATCCATTCTAAGTCTGTGGCCTTCCAGCCAATTACTTTAATGCAAAATCGTTCCCTTAATGTGACAACAGTTTTGATTTCCTTTCAAAACAGCTAGAAATTTGTAGTTCAAAGAAGTTGTACAAAGAACAGGAGAAATGGCTGGAGCAGAGCCTGAAGGTCCTCCAGGAAGTGCAGGGTCTGAAGGGGCAGGGGAAAGCCCAGCCCAGGCTGTGGAGACAGCGACACCGGGAGAGCAGCACACTGGATTTGACAGAGTACGCTGCCATCAAGAAGCAGCTAGTCCTCACCATGAGCCCCGAGGTGCCTCAGGGTTGCGGTCCTTCAGAATGGTGCCCTGAATCCCAGGCTGAGGGTGGTGGGGATGAGCAGAGCCAGTAGTGCCCAAGCTCCATTATGGACCAGTGCTGCTCCTGGGATGGGCTGGAGAGTCTGGGACCTCCTCTGACGTGTGGTGGGGAGTCCCTCCACAGATAGCAGTGATGGAGGTGATTTGGGGAACTGGGGTGCCTGTAAAGAGAAGGGGAGCTCTGGGACTGGAGGGGCAGAGACGGGGATTGACCAAGGACTCAATCCCCATGAAGGAGGAAAGGAGCAGCTCTCTGGGGGCTGAGGATGGAAGATGATGGTGTTCTGCTCTCCCTCCACAGAAACTGGAACGGGTCCAGAGGAGGCCACTGACCAGAGAAGCTGTGGCTGCCCCATCCCTGGAGGGGTTGAAGGGCAGGTTGGAAGGGGCTTGGAGCAACCTGGTGTGGTGGGAGGTGTCCCTGCCCAGGGCAGGGGGTGGCACTGGGGGGGCTTTAAGGTCCCTTCCAACTCTAACCATTCGTGCTGGTGAGAAGGCTGGAGGGACCATCCCTTCTGATCTTAGACACTCCTGAGTGGCCACTGTGGGCAGCTTCATGCACCCATGGGACTTGCCGCCACAGTGGCCGTGGGGTGGGTGTGAGGGTCTTGAGGTGCCCGGCTGGGACCGGGTCTGGGGTGGGGGGACCTGGGCTGCTGTGGTCCCACTGTTTGCTCTGATGGGAGATCTTATTTGTTTCTCCTCTCTGCCTGTTTGGAGATGAGTCAGTGGGTTTCAGAAACGTCAAAGAGGGTTGCCTGAGGAACTGAAATGCACTTTGTTTGTTTTCAAAGGCGCTCGGTGGGGTGATTGCGAGCAGGAAAAGGGGAAGAGGCTTTGAGTCACCGTGGTCCCCGCATTACTCAGCGTTAGTGAGTGAGCAGATGCCATCCCTCGACACAGCTTGCTTTTCTCAGGAAAAAGGAGAGAGCTTTCCCCCCATCGTACGTAGCTTCGTTAACTTTTTGTCTCTGAACAAGCACCATGGGGGAGGTGAGAACAGAAGCTGTGAGTGGGGTGGGAGCCACCCCTTAGCCCTGAGGGGTTCCCCCTGGACCTGCCTCCTTCCCCTTCTCCGAGGTGAAGGATGGGACAGTCCTGGTGCAACCGGGGTGAGATCCCAGCTGGGATTGCTCTGCTCCGGGGTGGAATCACTGCTCGGCTCCCCTGGAGGGACCCGGGCTGCCAGCATAGCATTGAGTGGGTGGGCAAAGCTGACCCCTCAGGGGGGTCCCAAGGGCACCTGGGGTGTCGCTGGCCATGGCGACCACCCCCTCTGCTTGGCTGGGTGGGCTCGGTGCATGATGGCCATCAGGGCACAGTGTGGGGCTGCCTTCCTTGGAGGGAGGGAGCAAGTATGGCGCTTGGCCAGGGCACCAAACCAGCCCCTGGCCCTCCTGAGGTAGCCCCTCATGTCCCTTCCTTCAGGCCCTCCGTCTACATTGCTGTGTGCCCCGAACCTGCCAAAACTCAAACCCTCTGCTGAGGGCATCACTCTGCCCTCCCTCCCTGGTGCCTGCAGCTCCCGCTCCCCTCCCTCTGCCCGGGAGTTACCTACAGAAACCCTTCTCCAAAGGAAGCATTCTTCTCCTGGCTTTGCCAGCAGGGCATTTGAGCAATGCAAGGGGTGCTGAGCAAGGGGGAGAAGGGACCAGTTGGGGTGAGGGGAGTATCTGAAGCAAGTAGGGCTTTAAGGACGGATTGTTGCAGAGAGAAGCAGCTGTTTGGTGAGAACTGTTGTGTGCAGGAATGGAAAAAAAAAAAAAACCCACCAAAAACAGCAGATTTCTTTAATTACAAAGCCTAGTTCTTAACTCTCTTATGAGCAAAACACATACCCAGGGCCCCGGTGATCTGCTGGGAGGAGATTTACGCGACGTGCACCTAAACCACAGCTCACGTGGCCGGCTTTCCGGTGCCGGGCTCGCTGGTGGCACGGCGGGGCCATGGCGCCTTAGGTTCCCCAGCCCTGCCGCGCTGCGCTGCCCCGGCCCTCATGGCGCTCCGGAGGCTCGTCCAGCAGAACCACAATGCCAACCTCCTGGGCTTCGGGCCCGGGCCGGCCAGCACTGCCGGTGGGGAGCCAGCCCTGCCCATGGACAGCAGGAGGATCCAGCACTTGGCCAACACGGTGGGGACGCTGCCCCGCGGGCGCAAGCAGGTAACCAGGGGGGGTCTGGGGGGGCTGGTGGCTCGATGTCGGTGTCTGCAGGGGTGAGGGGAACCCACTGAGTGTCCCCGAGTGACCGCGTCGTAGGGTGGAGCTCCGATTTTAGGGTGCTGGAAGGATTTAGGATGGAAAGGGTTGACAGGCTGAGAGAGCTGGGGTTGTTCAGCCTGGAGAAGAGAAGGCTCCGAGGAGACCTCACAGCAGCCTTCCAATATCTGAAGGGGCTACAAGAGAGCTGGGGAGGGACTCTCTGTCAGGAAGGGTAGTGACAGGACAAGGGGTAACAGTTTTAAGTTGGAAGAGGGGAGATTTAGATTAGATACCAGAAAGAAATTCTTTGCTGTGAGGGTGATGAGAGCCTGGCCCAGGTTGCCCAGAGAAGTTGTGGCTGCCCCATCCCTGGAGGGGTTGAAGGGCAGGTTGGAGGGGGCTTGGAGCAAGCTGGTGTGGTGGGAGGTGTCCCTGCCCAGGGCAGGGGGGTTGGAACTTGATGATCCTTGAGGTCCCTTCCAACTCTAACCATTCTATGATTCTATGATTCCCGTGGGTTTTGGGATTGTGGTGAAGCCCTTGGAGCACCAGCAGCATGGGAAGCTGCGGAGGGGAGTGAGGAAAGAGGGGTTCTGCCTGCCTTGTGGCTCCCAAAGTGCTTCTGCAGCCGAGGTCCTGCCCCGGCTGTGTCTCTTCTCCATTTACAGCAGCACCACGAGCCACAGGAGCCTCTCTCTGTCTGGGTCTTCCCTTAAACTTGCATTTACTTCAGCACAGCAGCCTGGCTGGGCTGTGCTTCCTTCTGCAATGCTGGCAGAAAGCACCCACCATGAGTTATTTCCACCCAGTTTTTGGAGTATTTTGCTACAACCTTTTTTTGGGGCTGTCTCTCTCTTTTCTGGGCTTTTCCCCCCGAACAGCACATTTTTGCTGTGTCCCACTGGATTCCACAAAACTCTCCCTGGCTCCTGCTGTAAGCCGCCAGCTGAGCGACCCCAGCTCTGGTCTGTTTGTCTCACATGAAGAAGCCTAGATAGAAGATGCCCGAGACACGTTATAACCTGGAGCCCTTTGTGTGGCCATCGCAGGGGGGAGGCTGGTGGCCATGGCTGCGAGGTGGCCGTGTCTGTTAGCAGTGAATTACAGAATGCACCCAGGGCTGGTGGGCTGTTCCTGTTTCCCAGGAACGTGTTATGGTTGAGACTTGGCCCTGCAGCAATGCCAGTTAAATGTCCTCCACAGGTGTTGGTATCAGACCTGTTACTGTGGGAAATTGCTCTGTAGCTCACTTGGAAGGGAACCACAGGGTGGAGGAAGACCTCCTGGGCAGGAAGGTGGTGGTCGCCATCAGCAGCTGGCAGGAGGCTCTGGAGGTGGTGATGAGTTGGCTTGTGTCCTGGGCCTAACTGCGTTTCCTCTTGTTCTCAAAGTTCAAGTTCTTGTTTGACGGAGGGAGAGGCTGTGTTGGTGCAGGCTGGTTGTGGGATGCCACCGGCTGTTTTAGTTTTTCTCTAAACTGCTGATTTTAGCCGTGGCCCTCAAAGAACCCTAAGCCTACTGACCCTTTTCCACTCCCATTTCTGGTTGCAGCTTGCCTTGACCAGATCCAGCTCCTTGGGTGACTCCTCCAGGCCACAAAGGTATGAAGACATTTTTCTATAATCACTGTCATTTACTTATGCTGTATAAAATGTGTGACCTGGGAGCCTTCCCATTTAGCAGCCCTTGTGGAATCGGGGTGCAAGGCAGAGAGTGATACCCAACGCCTGGGACATGGCGGGTGCAAGGGTGACATTTGGTTTGAGGAAGGAAAGAGCAGGCACCTCTGGAAGGTGCGAGGGAAGGCGTGTGGCACCCTGCACAGGGAGGGGCAGTGATGGGGACACCACCCTTTCTGTTAGAAACACAAACTACCTGAAGCGTGGCACCCCGGCACTCATGTGGAATTCTGTGTGTTCTTCTTGCAGGCACCTCGTTGCTATATTAAAGGAAGATAGAGAGACGTTTGGGTTTGAAATCCAGGTAAGAATTAAATGAGAAGTTGATTTGTTTAAAAATAAAATCCGGTGCAGTCTGTCGAGTGTCACATCCTCAAAATGAGGTTAAGGCAGCATAGAGCAGAGAAAGGCGTCTCTCAGCTCCTCGTGAAGCTTGAAGGGCTCACAGTCATGACAGGATCAGGATGCATTGCCAAGGATTTTATTCATAGCGAAGGTCACAGATGAGAATTTCTGGCCATCTCACAAGCATTGAACGTAGGAGGAACCTCATGCAAATCCAGATATGAAACAACGGCAGTGCCTTCTTACCTCCATAAGTGAATATTTGTCTTGAGAATACTATAGAAGAGTATTTTAATACAAAAAGAGAGAGATCAGTAAACTCTCAAAAAAATACCTTATACCAACATTGTACTACTTCCTGTAATGAATATAGAGACGTATGTATTTTTGAAGTAGATCTATAGTATTGGTACTTTCTTTAGTAAATAAAACATTACTTTTTTGGGGGGGGATAAATCACATAGGAAGAAATTCTGTCAGATGTAGAGGTCAGTAAATCTAAATAGGAAAACCAGAATCTTATCAGGACTGCTGCTAATGGGAGATTTTTGTTCTGTAGATTTTTTTGTTCGAAAGCTAACTCTTGGATTGGTGGGCCTGCTAAAATCCCAGTTATAAATAAAAAATAATCCCAGGAATAAACAGATGCTGTTTTGGGGGCAGAGCTCTGCCTGTGCCCCTCCAGACCCTGCCTCGTTGCCCCTGTTTCGATTACGGTGGTGTCCGGGCGTCTTCAAAGAGCTTGCCTTTATCTGTGCATAAAGGGAAAATAGTATTTTCAGTGAAATTAGTGTATTAGAAAAAGCTTAACTTCCTCAAATTCACTTGTGTGACTAATGAGTGGGTAAGTGTTCAGCTCGTGAACAGTGGAGAGCTTTCAGAAGGGAGGATAATTGAGTCAATTATCGGGCTTTTGTATAAATTGTCGGGGCAGATTTTCATTATATGTGACATTCTGATTAAAAATAATTGTTGTTGGCACATTTTCTTACTGAGTGTAGATGCAGCATGAGCGCTTCACTAGAAAGTCCAGGCTGCAGAAAGGCAGCATCTGTCTGATACTACGGATAAGCCATTATTTAGAAGCTGTAATTTCATTACTACAAGTTAAATTTAGGCAAACCAGAGTAAGATGATGTGAAACTCTAGGTCTTCCATCTGCAGGGAGCTCACGAGAACTGCAGCGATGGCCGAATGCCAGAGCTTCTCGCCTGTTACCGCTCCTTCTCCCACTTCCTGCTGGTGGAGCAGAGCCTGGGGATGAGATGGATTTCATGGGGCTCCCCAGGTCCCTGGGCATTTGCAGAGCAGATGCTCTGGTAGCACGTCTCTGCCCTCACTACAGCCCCCTAAAAGCTAGGTGTCCCCTCCAAATCCATGGCCCAGTCATCTTCCATGGTCCATGGGGAGAAAAAGGTACAGGAGAGGGATCTCCACACTCCTGGCTGGAAAGCTTATCTTGGGGCCATCAGTCATGGCCTGGAGATGTCCACCTCTCCCGGTGGCTCTGGTGGGGACACTGAGACACCTCTCTCCAGATGGCTCCCGTTAGGTGTGATGAATCCCATCCTGCTTTCCAGCTTGTATCGCTCAAGCTGGCCCAGTTGTCCAGGCTGGTAGGAGAGAACTACCACTCTGAAATAGGCCAAAAAAAGAGGCAGATGTGACCTGTTGTGGCGTGTCCTCCAAAGACCCTCATGTTTCACTTGGCAGTCTTAGTTTAGCCAGAAGTTTGACTCTCGGTCTGCTGCTGGCTGAAATTCCTGCATCAGCGTGGTTTGGCCAGATAAGCCCTGAACAGGGTCTTCAGCCCGGTTTGTTCCACCCTGAATGAGAAAATCAGGAATCTAACACCACTTCTTATATCTGGGTTAGATGTGTCATAGGTTTTCAGGAAGTTCAGCTTCAGTCTTTAATTTTGGTAGGAAGATGTGGCTTAATACTGATATTTGCATGTAACTGAGAAGACATTTCCTGTCACTGCAAGATCTGGTCAGGTTGCATCGCCTACTTCTGCATTTTTCTAAATACGTGTCAGCACTGGTAACCACATGATGGATTCATACTTAGAATCACTTAATATGTATTTAAATGTGCAAGCCAAGAATAACAAGCACTTTCTAGGGGGTGTGGGGACGCGTGTGGATCATGAGTTTTGAGAGGCCAAAGGAGCAAATGTAGGTCCAACTCTCCTTGGTTTTCAGTTCTGATATTTGAACCCATCTCTGGCAGCACCAGCCGAGTTCCCACGGTGTTGGCCATGAGGCAGGGGCAATCACTGGAGATGCCCAAGCCACATCCCACCGTGCTGGGGCTGGGACGTGGAATATTCCCCCAGCCACTGAACAACCCAGAAATCAATCCACATCTGTGTCTGCTAACGCGTATTCTTGGCTGAAGTTGCTGAGATTTTGATAACGAGTGACCAACTTACTGAAGTAGATTTTGCAAAAGCATGGTACAGGCAGGTGTCTGCAGTTCTCTAGCATAAGAATGCAATGTCTAATTATAAGGTTATAACATTTTGATGTTCTCACTTGTATGATAATACACCCTGCTCATCACAACCTCCTCATTTAAAAAAAAAAATGTGTAAAAAGACTATTAATTTTTAAATTGTTTTCATGCCTTTAATACTGGTAACCCCGTTGCTTTGGTATTTACAGACTATTAGATTTCCGAACCAAAATGATTACTCCCTGGAGGTATGCACTTGTGTCTGCAAGATTCAAGAAGAAAGTCCTGCCCATCTTTCTGGCCTTCAAACTGGTAACTATTGACTTTTTTTTTTTTCCCTGGTGTGGATGGCCTTATTTTGCTTTTCTCTGGATGAGTTTTGGTGTAGAGCATGTGGAGGCCGTGTGCGTGTTGCAGGTGCTCATTTCCCCTCCGTGTCTCTCTAACAGGCGATATCCTCGCCAGCATCAACGGCGTGAACACCGATGGCTTTAGCCACAAGCAAATAGTAGACTTGATAAAATCTTCAGGGAACTATTTAAGGTAGGCCTCCCTCCTTCACATGGGTTTTAGCTCAACAGTCTCTCCCACTGGAGGCCAAGGGAGCTTCTTGTGCTGCCCTGCAGTCCTGTGCCGTCCCAGGGCCAAAGAAATCCCAGGGGCTCTGGTTTTGCAGAGCCACACTCCTGCTGGAGATGGGGGTTGGGAGGAGAGAGATGTTCAAGACCAGGTTGGAGGGGGCTTGGAGCAACCTGGTGTGGTGGGAGGTGTCCCTGCCCAGGGCAGGGGGGTTGGAATTCAATGATCTTTAAGGTCCCTTCCAATCCAAACAGTTATATGATTCTACCTCTCTGGGAAGGTGCCCCAGTGTTACCCCCCACCCTGTCCCTTTTCTCCTGCCCCTGCCACGTGTTTGCTCATCTTGCACCAGCACCGATGCTGCTGGGGACAGCCAGAGAATCAGAGAACCATAGATTCGTCTGGGTTGGAGAAGACTTTTAAGATCATTGAGTCCAACCATCAACCCAACACTGACAAACCCACCACTGACCCATGTCCCTTAGCACCACGTCTGCCCGGCTTTTGAATCCCTCCAGGGATGGGGACTCCACCACTGCCCTGGGCAGCCTCTGCCAAGGCTTCACAGCCCTTTGGGTGAAGAAATTTTTCCCAATCTTCATCCTAAACCTCCCCTAGGACAACTTGAGGCCATTTCCTCTTGTCCCATGGCCTGTTCCTTGGGAGAAGAGACCGACCCCCCCCTGGCTACACCCTCCTTTCAGGGAGTTGGAGAAATCTCCATGGAGGAGAGGGGTGGCCGGGCAGGATGTGGTGCGGGGTCTGGCAGCCCTGGCAGTGCCTGGGGCTCCTCTCTGCTTCAGTGCCAACACCGCCTGGTCTTCACAGGTTAGAGACCATCAACGGGGCCATGTTCCTGCGGAAAATGGAGCTCGAGACCAAGCTGCAGCTGCTGAAGGTAATATAATTAATTAGTTAGTCCGCTGTTGAAGGCAGAGGGCTGTTGTGGAGCTGCTGGTAATGGGGGTAGAGGGATGTCCGTGGAGCTGGGTGGGTATCCTGGCAGGGGGCAGACACCCTTGTGTCCCCCACCACCAGCACCCCCAGCTGTAATATTTGCTGTATATTATTTTGGTAATATTTTCCCCCACAATAATTTCTCTAACTCAGTATTTCCATTTGTCCCCATCGTGGCTGTGCCCAGCTGGCAGGCAACGCTCCCCGGCAAGGACATAACAGCGCATTTTAATGCACTCTATATTTAGCAAAAAGGGAAGGCTGGCTATCACCAGCAGGGCTGGGGCTTGTTAGGGCTGGCACGCTGATGGCACCTCTGAGGTGTAGAGCTTCTGTTCCCCAGCTGGGCTGGTAGCCCGTTTTTGGGTGCTGGTAGCTCTGTGTCCTTCTTCACTTGCCCCTCTTGCAGCCAGGGTCTTCCAAAGCTGGGACCCTGTGGACCTGAGTGAGGGTTTTTCTCTTATGGCATCTTAATGCCAAAGCCCTCTGCGCAGGCGTAGGGTACTTCAAAAAGTGCATTAAAAACTAACCTGGCTGGAGCAAACCTCATGCCAAAGGGGCTCAGCTTGGCCCTGGTTGCCGTATGTGCCGTCACCTATAAAATACAAGTCTTGCCACGGGGGGGATTTGTTGTTTAGTATTTAGCATGTTTCAAACAATGTTTGTTTCACTTGTTTTGCGCTGCGTTTATAAGAGCACGGCCCAGGGTGTTGCTGATGCTGTGGGTGATGCCAAGGTGGCTGGTTGGGGATGCTGAGCTAGCCCAGCACGGCCAGAAATGAGCCAGACCCCGCAGCCAGAGAGGTCTCTGCTGTGTTCACGGGAACACTTCAGTGGGATGCTCCCTTCCCGGCCACACTCAGTGGTCCCTGGCAAGCTGTTTGGTCTGGTCCCTTAGAAATCTGAATGAAATAACTGGTAAAGTCACCAGAAATGGGACATCACTTCCCTCTCCCCCCCCGCCCCCCTCTTTCTAGAGAAATTCTAAACCCCAAATCTCAAAATCTGCTGTGAAATGTTCTATTTCAAAAGGGGAGGTTTTTTTTGATAACAGCTGTTTCCCAGAAGTGCCAAAGCCCTGCGAGAGGCGGGGTTACTGGGTGGGACGTGGGTGTGAGCCCCATCCGGCGCTGCCGCCCAGAGAACCTCCTTCCCTCTCTACCTCTGCCATGGTCCCTGCAGACCCTCTCACCGCAGCACACAGGGGCCATGCCCACAAGTGCTCCTCATCCCAGGTTTGGCCATGGGGCTGCATGAGGAGGCACCTTTGCCACCCAGTCCAGATCCTCCAGTGTGCCCCAGCTTATGGAATCAGAGAATTGTTTTGGTTGGAAAAGACTTTTAAGATCATGGAGTCCAACCATCAGCCCAGTGCTGCCAAACCCACCACTGACCCATGTCCCTCAGCACCACGTCTGCCCGGCTTTTAAATACCTCCAGGGATGGGGACTCCACCACTGCCCTGGGCAGCCTCTGCCAAGGCTTCACAGCCCTTTGGGTGAAGAAATTTTCCCCAATCTCCATCCTAAACCTCCCCTGGGGCAACTTGAGGCCATTTCCTCTTGTCCATTTTCTTGGCCATTTCAATTGGGTCCAGAATGGGGAAAACCTTTGGGCAACTCCCAACCATCTCTTACGTACAGCTTCCTAGGTTTAGTTGAATTATAAACATCTAAAAACTGTTTTATTCAACACTGTGTAGAGGTTGTAAGAGCAGACTTCTCCAGACTAATTCTCCTTAGAAGCAGCCACATCTCCTGTGTGGATGTTGTTGTAGTGTAGTGGGAACAGCAGCTGTGAGGGGCAGCTGGGGCCACCCCCTGCCTCGGCTCTGGCGATGGCTGCCCTGCACCATCCCCTGCCACAGCGTGTCCAAATCCACTGGGAAGGGGCTCCCTGAGAAGAGCAGCCAGGAAAAGGCTGGTTTTGTGGTGCCCTTGTAAATGTCTCCTGCTCAGTAGGTTGAGGGATCCCCAGGACACCCTCTGTGACACCCCCTGCTCTCACAGCGGGGGGCTGCCCGGCCTCTGTGGGGTGCTGGGGGCTCCCCGGGCATCTCGGTGTGTCCACAGGGCATCCTGCAGCTGGGCCGTGGCCTTCAGTTTGTGTTCTAAAACATGGAAAAGAGAAAAAATGTGAATGCAGTAACAGGGTTGCCCATGTGAGCTTGGTCTGGTCAGTGTGGGCACGTCACTGTGGGGTTTGCCAGCCCATGTGGCTGTGTGCCCGAGGGCCCATGCAGGTGACTGGGGAATGCCTTCTGCCCCTCTCTCCAGGTGTGGGCCCCTCTGCCTTTTGGTTTCCCATTTTTTTTGTTTTTGTGAGTCAGCCGTGCAGTGCTTTGTTCCTCATCTCAGAAGCTGATGTGCCGCAGAGGGGAAGCAAACCCTCGCTCCTGTGGGCTGGCATGGGGGCTGGGATGGGCTGACAACGTGGAGGCTCTCGGGCCAGCCAGGGTGCTGTGTTGTTCACACAGATTTGGGATGGGACCGGTCCGTGCCCCTGCCACTGGTGCCAGGACGAGGAGCGGGGTGACCATTCCTGGCTGGTGGCTCCGGGGCTGTGGGGGGCTGGTGTGTGGGCTGGGGGCTGGAGATGAGCAGAACGCTCCCCAGGCTTCAGGCTTCTGCTTCTCATGCTGGATTGTTCCTTGGGCCCCTCAGCCCAAGCCCCCAGGGCACAGACGGACTCGTACTTTCTGCAAGAACTTTGCTAAACTCCGGGGAAATTGTCTCAGTAAGAAGAGGGAGGGAGGAGCGCTTGCTGTAGGTGACCTGTACTTCCTGGAGAGGCTGTTGTCTCTTAGGGGTGTTTTATGGTTCTGCGAGAGTGCGTTGGTGACGGACCCCTCCTCTCCCCCTGTCTCTCCCGCAGCAAGCCCTGCAGCAGCGGCGGATGGAGCTGCGGTCGCTGCTGGCGCAGGAGCAGCGCCTGCTGCACGGTACGTCCTCTGCCCCGCGGGACCCGGCACCCCCACAGCACCCACCCAGCACCAAAACACAGCTCTCTCCTCCGAGCTCCACTGCCTTGCCTTCTCCCCTCTTCACCAAGGCGTGGGGCTGGCCCTGGGAAAGGTTTTTTTGGTTTTTTGTCCCCCCAGAAGTAATGAATTTGGAGGCTGCTCAAGTAAAGCCCAGCCAAGGCTCCTTTGTGCGGGCTTTAGGAGAGGTGCTGATGCGGGTTGCGAAGATTTTTTCCCATCCTTATTTTGGACTTTATCAGGGGAGGGATGCGTGGGGTTGGATTTTTAAGGGGTTGCCCAGGGAGCAGCTTTGATTCTGTGTGTGTGTGTATGGGGGGGAGGCAGGGGACAGAGAGCCCCCCGCGGCTGGGAGACCCCTCCCCGGCAGGGCCGGTGGGCTGTGGAGATGGTGGGCATGATGCTGCTGAGCCCCTGTGCCACCAGCCCTGCTCCCTGCCCCGGAGCGGCAAATAATGCTCCTTTTTGGGTTCTGCTTCCAGGGGAGGTGAACGACACCGCGCTGCTGGGCGCGCTGGAGCTGGAGGGGTCCGACTTGCTGGGGGGCTGCGAGGAGCCGGGACCCCTCTTTGTGAGGAAACCCCGCTTCTCCAGCGAGAGCAGCTCCCGCAGCCGGCTGAGCTCCATGACCCTGGACAGCGAGGACAGCTTCTGCCAGAGCAGCACCTTCGAGGACTCGGCCTCGGAGAGCCTGAGCCGCCAGTCCAGCGTGGACGACGACTGCTTCTTGGAGGGGGCGGCCGGGAGGTCCTCCCTGCGCAGGAACCGCAGCATCAGCCTGGCCAGCAGCGGGTCCATGTCCCCGCTCTGGGAGGGGGGCAGCAGCTGTGCCAGCAGCTTCGGGACCCTCCCGAGGAAAAGCAGGAGACCCAGTGTCCGAAAGCAGCTGCTGAAGTTCATCCCGGGCCTTCACCGAGCGGTGGAAGAGGAGGAAAGCCGGGTGTGAGGTGGCACGTGGTGGCCGGGTCTCTGCACGGGGGACGGGACCGAGGGTGGCCGCTCCCCCGGGAGCTGGCGGTGGGTAGAACGTGGTGGCACCGCGTCTTTGTCCCCTCCCCGCACAACCTCGCGACAGGACTGGTGATATTTAACACGCTCTGGGGTTTGTAATTATTTTAATTTTTAATCAGAAGAGCGCACTGCGGACCTCTTCATTAACGTGAAAAATGACTTAACTCTGAAATGGGAAGAACCTTTGCAGAACTTCCTCAGCGTACCCTAGTGTTAATGACAGATTTTAATTGAATGCAAAATTGATAGCTATTTATTTCCTGTTACCCAAGTCATAGTCTTCCGAAGGTCTTTAATAAAGCAAGTGCTTCTACGAAAACCAGTGTAGAAAGAGGACGGAGCCCAGAGACCCCCAGTGGTGACGTTTTGAAAGGAGGGGCAGAGATTTGCCCGTGGGGGGGGGCTCAGGGGGTGTGCTGGCACCAGCCACAGATTCACACAGAGAATGCCGGCTGCCATCGCTTTCCCATCCCTTGGCAGCCATCATATAAACCCTGCAAAAACCGGGTTTGTCAGCTACAATCTCTGCCCGTGGCCGGTGTCCCACGTCCTGCCAAACCTGTCTGATTCTGGGGGATTTAGAATTCACAGCCCCGATCGCCGTGCACCTTGGGGGGCTGCTGTCACAGAGCTGGGGGGAGCAGGGAGAGGGCACCACGGTGGTGGGCAGGGGCTGGTGACCCCCACTGAGAGCACTCCCTGGGGAAAGGGGTGAGGTTGAGTGGGTCTGCGGGGCTCAGGGGGAGGCAAGGGGATGGTGGCTGCCGTGGGGAGGGTGTGGGTGGGGGGTCTCTGTGTGTCCCCCGCTCCCCACTGTGACTCTGTGGGGCTCTTCTGGGCAGTGTCACCCAGCCTGGCCAGGAATGGGGCTTTCTGCAGGGTGACAGCTCGGCAGGGGTCCCTGGAGTGCCACCCCCTGAGGGCATGGCCAGGGTTTTACCAAATTTGAGAAAACACTCGCCCACTTCGAATCACACAACCGTGCAGCTCAGGTTGGTTTGACCTCCTCAAGGCGAGAGAAGTGAAGGCAGAGGATTGTCCCACAGGACAAGCAGGATTGTCCTGTGCCTGGACGCAGTGACAGGTGACATCTGGGGACCTCTGAGAGGGCCGGGGACCCTGTCCCTCTATGTGCTTGGGAGTGGCAGAGATGCCCCTCGGCTGGTGTTCCCACTGCTCATCAGCAGGAAGGTCGTTAACTGTCCCCGTTCCCTCAGGAGCAGAGCCTTGGGGCTGTCAGGTTAACGGAGTAGTTGACGTGATTTAGTAAATATGGGCATAGACGTGAAAGAAAAGAGAAATTTTATTTCCCTCTCAGGCAGCACAGACACAGAAATAGGCTGTTTTCCGGCCCAGGCCAACCTAATTATGTTTTTCAAATAGAATTGGAAGAATTTTAAATATAATTTAAATACCTTGTGTGACTCATTCGTCTGTGGACCGAGCACCCGTGCGGCTGTTTACGGTGCAGGGGCTGCTGTGGCAGGATTTCCTGCTCCTTTAAACCTCGGGCTAAGCCCAACAGCTTCCCCCCGAGATGAACCCGAAATGAAAACAACCTGTTCCCAATAGTTCTCTAATTAATGAAGGTTGCTAAGGCAGCAGAATCTGTACTGGCATCTGTAATTTCTCTTAAAAGGATTGAGTGGTCGGTAATACTTCAGGAGAGCTGGAGGGCAACCAGGGGAGCGGCTTGTGAGGTTTTGGTGTGTGGGAGTGAGGGTCTGTCCAAGCTGCTGAGCCCAACACCCGCAGTTTGGCCCCTGAGCCCCCCACCACCGGGTCACCCCCAGCCCCAGGGTGGGCTTTGGTCCCACCCTCAGCCCAGGCTGGGGCTTTCCAGCTGCTGGTCCGGGCTCTGCAGCTCGTTGGTAGATGTCAAGGTTTTTTGCCGGTGATTTGCTGTCTCAAGATAGAGTTTTGCTTTTCTTTGCCTATAATACCAGCTGAAAGGAGGAGAAAAAAAAAAAGAAAGGAAGATTATTTCTATTTGGACAAACATAAGAGGAGTTAAAGGCAGCTAGATGGGTGTATGACAGCCACTGTGGGCACAACAGCCAGCAGACCTGGGGAGGGTTGTGGTGGTGCCCCAAGGATCTCAAACGGCTCCTGCGCTGAGGAAGGGACCTGAGCCCCAGCCAGCTGCAGCCAGGGGACTTGCTCTGGATGCTAGGGTGGCAGCTCAGGGCAGAGATGTCCCCATCACTGCAGAAACCTGGGGACGTGTCCTGGGCAGGGTTGTGGTCTGCATCCTCCACCTGGCTTTATAGAGGGGAAAAAAAGATTATTTAAACCACGGTATGAATTCTGCTCCTTAGGGCTGCCTCTCTGGTGGAAGTTAATGCAGCTTCGTGGTGCGAGGCAGTGACTCCCTGTGGTATGGGCAGTTGGTGTGTCATACCCTGGGAGACAGCTCCTTTGCTTTCAGTGGGGAAGGGCTGCAGGAGCCTGGACACCCAACGAGCTTCAGAAGGGCCTCAAGAGAGACCAACTAAACGATGCTCCTGCAGTGGCAGTGAGAGCACGCTGTGCTACGAGGCGACACAGTGAGATGTTGGCGGCCACGATGACAAACAGGATGTGGGTGACAGGCGAGGTGTCTGTGGCCGGTGCCGAGATCCACGGTGCCCCAACCTTGCGTGGGCAGGGAGGAGCTGGCGGGCAAGGAGCTCAGAGAGCTACAGGAGCTCTGACCTTCCATGAAGGAGGTGTTCTCGTGGATCGGGGGGCCCATGAAAGGAGGGTCATGGAGGGTTTGCTCCATTCCCTAATGCCCAAGGGTTTACCTTTCTCTTCTTCTCCCCCGTGGATAAAGGGGGCACCGCAAATTTCAAGGGGTGATAGGGTTATTGAGTCCCTCAAGGGGCTCCAGGAAAGCTGGGGAGGGAGCAGGGATCAGGGAGGGGAGCCCTAGGAGGAGGGGGAAGGGTTTGACCCTGCAAGAGGGGAGATGGAGCTGAGATGTGGGGAAGAAGTTCTTTGGTGTGAGGGTGGTGAGAGCCTGGCCCAGGTTGCCCCGAGAAGCTGTGGCTGCCCCATCCCTGGAGGGGTTGAAGGGCAGGTTGGAGGGGGCTTGGAGCAACTTGGTGTGGTGGGAGGTGTCCCTGCCCAGGGCAGGGGCTGGCACTGGGGGTGCTTTAAAGTCCCTTCCAACTGCAGCTGTTCTGTGATTTTCTGATTCTGCTGGGAACATTTCCAATCCAGTGGAAAATCATCCAAGGCTGTAGTATCCTGTGAAAACTCATCGCTCACAGATGAAAGGTGCAGCCCTGGAAGCTGCTGAAGTACGTAAGGAGACTCTGCCTTTCTCTGTCTCTTTGCCCTGGGTTTTGCTCCATTTCATCCATCCCATCAGCCACCACACCACTTTCTGCTCGCTTTCCAGGGGTGGCCACGTTGCTGCCTCACCCCCCCGCCCCGGTGCTGTCCTGCTCGGCTGATTTCTGCTTTCACACCTCATGTTTCCTTTCTCACGCCCCTGTTTTAGCAGTTTTCACACTGGTTGCACCCAGCTTTCGTAGTGCTGAAAAGAAGATCACGGGAAGTAGTTGTTGGGGAGCACTGAGTCTGTCCTGCCAGCCACTGCGGGGCAAAAGGCAAACACACCTTATACATAGATAAAGCCAAGAATTTATTGCTGTGCTCCCAGCACGGCCCAGCCTCTTGTCACGGCACAGAATTATGCAGAAACAGAGCCAACTCACCTGACTGCTCACAGAAATCACTGCGGCAGCGAGACCCAGTGAAGCCCAAAGCGAGCCCGTCCCACCAGCCCCGGTGCTGAGGCCTTGCAAACTTGGTGCAAAGGTGGTGGCCCGTGACACAGGTGGCAAGGTCTTATTTCTTGGGCTGCAGAGCCCCTGGTGGCACCAGTGTGGGGGCAGGGAGGGACGGGAGCTCCTCTGGCTTAGATGGAAGTGTTGGGAGAGCAGGGATGCTCTGCCCAGGGACAGGTCTGCAGCCTGAACTGCTTCCCTAAGGTTTGGCTCCCCCAGTACAGGCTTTTCCTTTTTTTTTTTTTTTTGAAAGCTTAAAGACACAGAAATGACACCACCTCAGGTTTGTGCAAATGAAGTGTTTTCCTGGCCCTGAGAGGTGTTTTGGCCCAGCTCTGTTTGTAAATAGCTGCCTGCGGTGGGAGGAACCCGCAGCTACTTCTCCCCTTTTCCAAGTCCAGTTATGAGCTCTGCGTCCTTAAAAACACCCTTGAGGATGCTGCAGCATCCCGGAAACTTCCAGGATCCTCATCACTGGGATGACCTGGGGGTGACGGGTGTCCCCTCAGCTCCTGGGGATGCTATGGGGCGAACAACCCGTGCGGGAACAGTTGGATTTACTCTCTGCCATGGCAGACCCTCCCTTCTCTCTGGAATGATCCAGAGTTGCTGTGGCTCTGCTGATTTACCTCACTTGTGGTGCCCCAGTGCCCCTGAAACCCCAGGTGCTGCTGCTGAAATTTTAGCAAAGGGTAGCCCGAAAGGAAGCTTCCTGCAATAAGGTGACAGGGAAAATGATTTGTAATACATTCATGCAGATGGTGCTTCAGCCACGAGGCGCTTCTTTGGGAAAACGTAAACTGTTGAGAACTGGTTGTTGTAACCAATAGATGGCACCAGGAAATACCTAAAATTGTTTCAAATATCTTTTTGCAATCAGGAAGTCAGGCAGGCAGGTCCCTGGGGAGATGGGGATGGGACGTGTCCCCATCCCTGTCCCTGTCCCCATGGGAGCTGACACGGCTCCAGCTCAGCAGGGCTCACGCTTGGCAAGCCCAGTGCCATGTTTTCAGCTTTGGGCTGTCTCAGATGTGAAATATCCAAGCTATTTGGGTTATTTATTTGGACTATTTGAGCTATTTTGAAATGTGCAGCCTGTCCAGGGGTTTGCCCCACGCTCGAGCCCAGGATTTGTGCCGGCTGCACCTAGTGGGGTGCATTGCCCATCCCGGGGTGGCCATGTCCCCTTGTCCCTGCTGTGGCCACGTCCCCACTCTGTGTGTTGTCAACACACTTTAAACCTCATCATCCATTCTTCTTGGACAAATTTTTCCAGCAGAAGATCAATTTTACAAATCAATTACACCAAACTCATTTTCATAACAACAATGAAAGGTTGTTGATTTAAAAAATGTAAATTCACAGGTGAACAGAAGAAGTGGGAAGGCTTTGGGTCCATTTCTAATCAAGGTCTGAACTCAACAAGAGGATTTCCAAATCCTTAAAGCCCAAAGATATCAAAGACGCTGTATTATACGAACACAAAAGTCGTTCACAGCAGGAGATTACGCTCTTACGTAAACCTGGCTTTGGGCATCAGGGCTGAGACGGGTTCAGCTGCGGTGAGGGAACACTGTGGTGCTGCTGGGGCCGTCCTCCTGCTCCCCTCGGTGACACCTTCCCCTCCTGCTCCTGCTGGCTTTAGGTCCCACTGGTAACTGCTGATGGGAGGGCTAATCTCATCCCTTCCCCTTTTGTGTTCCTTTAAAGAGAGTCTCTGCTGCTGAGAGCAGACTGAGAGGGGATCTCACTGATGCTGAGCAAGAGCTAAAGGGCAGGGGGCAAGAGGATGGGGCCAGACTCTTCTCAGTGGTGCTGGGGACAGGACAAGGGGCAATGGGCACAAACTGGGACATGGGAAATTCCATCTCAACACGAGGAAAAACTTCTTTCCTTTCTCTGGAGACATTCCAAACCCGCTTGGATGCGTTCCTGTCCAACTGCTCTGGGTGACCCTGCTCTGGCAGGGGGTTGGACCAGGTGATTTCCAGAGGTCCCTGCCAGCCACTACAATTCTGGGATTCTGGGATTCTGTGCTGTGGCCAGAAGCTGCTTCTGCAGCAGAAGGCTGTGCTGTGGATGTGGGAGGTGTCCCATCGCCTGGCTTGGCCTCGGGGACCTGCCACCTGGTTTCACATCTCCTCGCAAAGCGCTGCATTGGCTGGTGCTTTTGGTTTCCATTTCCCAGTTGGGTTTCCCTCTCCCAGTTGGGTTTCCGTCTCCTAGTTCTGCCTCCAAGCCCTCTTGGTGCATCTCCCCGAGCAAGGAATTTCAGATGTTTGGCATCTGGTGGCCATGGCCATGCTGTGGCTGTGCGGCGGTGGCACCACACCGTGTGTGGGGCATGCACCCTCCTGGCCATCCCCTCTGTCCCCCACAGAATGCCCACATTGTCCCTCTGGCGGCACGGCGGGGTTTATGGGCACACAAACCCCGTGGGGAATGTTAAGCGGGTTAGGTGGCCGCAGCACCGCGGTCGGTGGTCACCCTCCGGGGATTAGGGGTGAGAACAATCCTCCCCCCGTGACCAGGCAGGGGCACAAAGAGCCATTGTGCTGGGAGTACAAAAATCCCCGTTTATTACGGCGGGGCTGACACGCTGAACGACCCGCTCTCCACCCCTGGCACAAAAGCTCCCTTGCTTCAGATTGTTTGTTTATGTAAATTAAAATGGTGCGTTTAATTATGCAACGGGACCAGCCTTGGCAACAAGGGCGGCGCTGATTGGGTTGCCCCCCGTGGCCAGAGCCCACGGGCAAGCCCTGGGCACGGCTGATGGTGTCACCGCGGTCCCTGCTCCACCGCAGGTCCCACAGGAGCCAGGACACGCATTGACCCTTTGCCCAGGGGACCTAAAACCCCCCGGGGGGAGAAGGGGGTGAGGAGTTTCGCTCCCCACCCCGGGGTGCAGGGCCCCGGTGGGTGGCACGGCTGGAAGCATGACAGAAGAGGTCCCAGCAGCGTCCACCATGCCCGAGTGCAACGGGAGCGTACCCCCGGAGAAGGGCCCGCTCATCGATGAAATAGCAAATTCTGTCAGCACGGTCCCTTACGCCAACGCAGAAACCAGCCCTGATGCCTCACCTGTGAAAGAAAATCAGCAGGAAAATAGGAATTCGTTATCGGAGGACGTAGTTCATGGGGATTTTGATGGAGAGAAGCAATGCCAAGGTAAAGTACAAGGCTGCCTTTCTTTAAGTGTTTGGAGAGAAAAGCTCTATTTTATGTATAACCTCATGAATAACGGGATGTACTATGTGTCTCAGTCAATGTTCCTCACCCATGGTCATTGTAACAATGGCCTACGGTAATTCAGAGTTGGGGGACAAATTTGAATGGGCAGTCACACCAGATGTGATGAAAACGATGTGACTAAAGAAACGAGTGCTTTTTTTAATCTGTTCTGAAAATCTGCTGCTGACCTGCAGCTGTTAAAACCCAATTATCGTTGCTCGCTGCTCCACCAGCCCATTTCTCCTGCTTTGTGTTTCCCAAAGACAAGCCAGAGGAGAACGGTGGGAGGCTGCAGCGGGGACCAGCTGATACCCAGGACACGGGGACCGATGGCCGGGAACCACTGGAAGGTAATGGGGAGTGCTGCCCGAGGTGAGGTTTTCCCAAAGCACACCCACAGGTGGTTATTGCTGTTCTTAAATTTGGTCGGACTCCATATTCTGGAGAGCAGGGACCCAGCCCTCATCTGTATAGTTGCTGCACCTCAGGAAACATGGCTAGGATCTTTCTTCCCGAGGTTTGTGTGTGTCTCCATGACCATGGGGTATCGAAGTGCCATGGAGCCCTTGCCCGGGAGGTCTGCAGCAGCTCTGTGAGGCTGGGAGATGCTTCATCTCCTGCTCCATGCTCAGAGGGTGACCCCGGGGGCTGTCAGGCAAAACGCTGCAGCCTCAGAACCCCCACTCTCTTCCTGCCGAACGTCTAAATCCCCCTGATGCCCAAGTATTCAGCAGAAAATTGCCCTCATAAACAGCCTCTCCTGGGCCTTTCTCTACTCATTCCTGGGTGAAAATGGCAAAAATCAGTTGGAGCTGAGGCTGGATCTGGCAGCTGCCTCCTGCGGGAGTGGGGTTGCAGTGAGAGGGTCGCTGCCTGGCCTGGGCAGCAAGGTGAAATGTGTTTAGTATATATATATCTATGTATATATACATAGATGGATGTATTCAATTGTGCTATGCAAAATGCTGCTCCAAAAAGGAGGAGTATTTTACTGGGTATTATTAAAGGAGGGAAGATATGTCTCTCTGTGGGTGGGCTTTTGGCGTTGCTCACCCACGTTTCCCATCCAGGCTCATCCCAGCTCGCTGGGTTTGGCAGCCATGGGGCGAGGGACTGCTTTGCTGTGGGCTACTAACACCCCCATCGCTCCCCTGGGCCATGGTGGGGCTCAGGGCTGGTGGATCTGCCCCAGGTCCCCCCCAGCCAGCCGTGCTGGAGCCCCCTTGTCATTTACACACCCCACTGGGCTGCGACGAGCTGGTGCTTTCTGTCTCAGCAGCCAAATAAATATGAAACCCCTCCTCCTTGGGGAGCAGGTGGACAACCCAGAGTAGCTGTCATGGTCCTGGCAAACCTGGTCTTGTTGGATGTAGTGCTGAAAGATGGACGGGCCACAGCCTGTAACTGGAAACTTTGCTTTGATTAAGAAAGGGAAAAAAATATACAAACATTTGTCACGGGTAAAATAATATTTTGCAGGAAACTGCCCATGTTGTGAGGAGGTAAATTGTGATGGAGGCTTCCCCACTTGGAGCTGACATCCCTGTTCCAGCCGCGCTGCTTTATGGGCGCACAATAAAACCTATTAAATGATCTTGAACAGTCACCCCCTCCCCCCAGCCACAAGCACTTTATCTCTAAATTGCAGGCAGCTTTTTAGGACCTAACCAATTTAGTCTAATTAATACGCAGGACCCCACAGGCAAAATGTTGAATAGACCATTTGTTGTGACACTAAAGCATAATTTAGGGCAGCGACGTGCCAAACGGGACGAATAGGAGAGAGAGCCATCTCAGCCTGCGCGGCCACCCCCGAGGGAGGGACAGGTCCCAGGAGGGCTGTGTGGGGTCCCGCTGTGCGGTGGGTGCCGTGGGGTGCTGCCTGAACAGCGGCTCCCTCCCTCCCTCCATCCTTCCATCTCTCCCTCTTTCCATCCCTCCCTTCCTCCTTCCATCCCTCCATCCCTTCCTCCTTCTTTTGCTCCTCTTCCTTCTTCCCTCTCTCCATCTCTCCCTCCATCCCTCCCTCCCTCCATTCTTTTCTCCCTCCCTGTCACCCTCCCTCCATCCCTCTCTTCTTCCCTCCCTCCTTCCATTCCTCCATCCCTCCCTCTCTCCCTCCCTCCATCCTTCCATCTCTCCTTCTTTCCATCCCCCCCTTCCTCCTTCCATCCCTCTATCCCTCCCTTCCTCCTTCCATCCCTCCATCCCTACCTCCTTCTTTCGCTCCTCTTTCTTCTTCCCTCTCTCCATCTCTCCCTCCATCCTTCCCTCCCTCCCTCCCTCCATTCTTCTCTCCCTCCTTGTCTCCCTCCCTCCATCCCTCTCTTCTTCCCTCCCTCCTTCCATTCCTCCATCCCTCCCTCTCTCCCTCCCTCCATCCTTCCATCTCTCCTTCTTTCCATCCCCCCCTTCCTCCTTCCATCCCTCTATCCCTCCCTTCCTCCTTCCATCCCTCCATCCCTACCTCCTTCTTTCGCTCCTCTTTCTTCTTCCCTCTCTCCATCTCTCCCTCCATCCTTCCCTCCCTCCCTCCCTCCATTCTTCTCTCCCTCCTTGTCTCCCTCCCTCCATCCCTCTCTTCTTCCCTCCCTCCTTCCATTCCTCCATCCCTCCCTCTCTCCCTCCCTCCATCCTTCCATCTCTCCTTCTTTCCATCCCCCCCTTCCTCCTTCCATCCCTCTATCCCTCCCTTCCTCCTTCCATCCCTCCATCCCTACCTCCTTCTTTCGCTCCTCTTTCTTCTTCCCTCTCTCCATCTCTCCTCGTTGCTTCCTCCCTCTCTCCTTCCATCCCTCCCTCCAACACTCGATCCCCCCGTCGGCTGCATCCCCTGCCCTCGTTGGGGGGGCTCCGCGGGCAAGGTGGTACCAAAGCGGTGGCCTTGGGAAGGGGTGTGAGGACGCAGGAAGCCTCTCTGAAGAGCACTGGGGAGTCCCTGGTGTTGGGGTGCAGCTGCAGGGCTGGGGCACCCCCACTGCCCAGGCTGGGGGGTGGGTGCTGCGGGTCAGTCTCCAAGGGCGATGCTGCACAAGGAGCAGGTAGGACACGGGGACGAAGGCTGTGCCGAGCCCCTCCTCATCCTCACTCGGTGTCGCCGCAGGGCCGGGCAGGGAGGGGACACCGTCGGGGACACCGTCGGGCAGCGGGGAGACGGGGACGGCGGCCGGTCCCGGCGGGGACACGGCGGGGGCCCCCCCCGCCAGCGCCGCCGGGGGAGGGGAGGAGGCCGG